ATGACATGTCCTTGAAACTCAACTTTGTGACATTCCTTTAGATAAAACAATGTTTTAATACTTTGTTAACAATCCCTCCCTTCCCTGTCCCTTATAATCCTTCAAGGATTCCTCAATGCCTTCTGAATAAAATCTAGATCCCTTTTATTGTGGACCCAACAAATTCTCCCTCCTCATCTCTAGCTTCTATCTCTCAACTGCTCTCTATTCAAAGCACACACTTAGACCTTGTTCTTTCTTGCCCCACCACAACCACTGTGCCTTTAAACAAAGTCCTATCCAAAGATCTGCAGCCAATGCCCCACTTTATTCAGACAGCAGATTTTCTCACCATTCAAACCTTCCCTCAAACGTCCCCTGCTCCAGTGTCTCACCTGAATCACTAAGATGGTCTAGGTTTCCTGTTTCTATCATAGCACTTATTTCCTGGTATTGAAATGCTCTGTTTACCTGTCTTCCACACCAGACAGTAGAATCCCTGAAAGATAATACGTATTTTATCCATCTTGGTGTAGTCAACTAGCACAGTGCCTTGCATAGAGTAGGTACTCACTATATGTTGAATGAATAAATTAATCAATATGCAGTAGAGAGAACACAAATATACAGGAAAGTGACCATCGACCCCACCTGACCTATATCAGAATTCAGAACTAACTCCCAATCAATTCTTTTTCAGTAGTTGAAGGTGTAACCCAGAAGCTATTTCCTCTACCCATTCTTGATCTCTAGAATCTCTTTATCATTTGCAAAGCACTTCCCACATGTGCACATGCATTCTGTCATTTAATCATCAACTGCAAGATGGTGTTAGTCAGCTGGGTTTTAATGCAACAAGCTCAGCATGTCCACATGGTGTAGCAAGAAGATCACTGGCGTTAAGGTCAGACAAGCTGAGCCCCAGTCCCTATTCTGCTGGTTGACTACTGGTGTGTTACTGGATAGATCTCCTGTCCTGTCTAAACGGCAAAGTCCCCAACTTTGTCACACTTGGTGGAGGTAAAGTGTCACTTTCATGCATTGTTGTCAGCTAACTGATCCGGAAAGAGCATAGTCTTTAGGGTAAGGTGGGCTTGGCTTTGACTCCTAGTTGTATCACATATAATAGGTGGGGAATTTCGTGCCAGTTAATGAATGTCTCTGAGCCAGGTTACTCATATATAGAGATACTAATGATTTTCTCTTAGGTTACTGTAAAATTTAGATGAGATAGAGTATAGAAACATTTATAGATTTTTAAGTGCTATATAAAGTTGTTACTATTATTATTATTTGGCCAGGTTTAAGAATGACTTAGAAAAATGTTTCTCAAAGTGCCCTGTGCACCACATTGTCACAAGAGTATTTAATAAGTGTAGCCTTAAAAAGTTATTGATAACTGCACTCTAGCTTATTAAAGCCTCTGAGAAGTCCTGCTGTAGAGAGATCTGTTTAACTCCATTTATCCCACCATTTTCCAATTTATTTGAATAAGGGAACACATGTCATACCATTTGGAATATCAAGCATGTGAAAAGCCAAAATGGTCTTTCACTATATCTTCTCCACATGACTCTCATGATAGATATTCAAAAACAAAAATCAAAATAGTAAAAATACCCCCCATTCTACCATCCATTGACTCACTGACTTATTGTTTGCAGTATGCCTATTTGCCTTTAGAAGACAATCAAGTATGTACGTACACAGGAAAAATTAAAGTATAATTTTAAGAGTGAGTCATGAATTCTGAAGGAAGAAGGCATCTAGATATAATTGATTATCAGTGTGAAGACTAAAAACGGTTCTAATTGGCTATTTGTGATTCCCACTGGCTGAACTGCCCTCTTAGTAACTTCTGGAATCATTTGAAATGAACAAGAAAAAAAAAAGTAAGTATTCATTTGCAGGTACATTTCCTTTAAAGTCATAATTGCTCTTTTCACATGGTAGCAAAAGTTCACTTCATTATTTCAAATGGCTGTTTCTCAGAATCAAATCCTGTGACTTTAAAAGCTGCCATTAATTTCTCATTAGTAAACGTTAATTAAAATGAATACGTATCATTGCTCTCAGCAGTTGCATTTGTAATAAAGGTATAAATACATTCAAATTTCACCCAAAATGTTCCAAATAGCTATTTTGAACAAGCAAACACTTTGATGTTATTTCAAAGGATTGTATCTACAGAAAGCTTTTAGAATCTTGCCCTTACCTAAAATAACTAGCATTTCATGGAAATACAAGGAACAGTTACCAACCTAGCTAAAATCTATTTTATCGATCTTAGAAAGTAGCATGTTAAAACATGAAAAATGACCTCTGAGCTTTGAACCATTCAGTATCTCGGTGTTTCTGCAACATTTGTGTATAATGCTTGGAAAAGTAAAGCTAGAAGGAGCAGAGGGATGCTCCTAATTTAAAGCATCCTAATGGTCTAAGATAATGGTTTGATACAATAATCTGAGATGAACTGCATCTCACCAGCTTATTATCTCAAACATGCATCTGCTACCCAAAGTTCCATTCCAATATTCCACACACAGAGAAGTTGAAACCATTTCAGAATGCAACTGAATTCCATGAACTTTCCGATCCCTTTCCAATGTCCTACGTTAGGCTGAAGTTTGTTTGTTTGTTTAAACATACTTTCTAAAGAGAAAATGAGGCTGTGTCTTAGATCATACTTCCAACAAGTTACCCCACTAGTCTCCAAATAGCTTAACTAGAATCCAAGAACAGTTAGATTAGATAATTCAGACTTACATATTAAGCACATTATTCTGATAACATAGACAAGGATCTGAAAATATTTTCAACAAATACTTCCTCCCAGACAACCATGCCTTTGCAGGAAAAACTTCAAAACCTCTAAGGAAAACACTGTAGAAATATTTAACAAAGAGGAGTCATGTGGGACCACAATTTCTCCAAGGGTTGGGTTGGTTAATGCATTTGATAATGCACAGCCTCTGTGTGCTCTTCCTTCTGCACGCAACCTTCCATCCCTCCTCCTCCTGTCGATATGGCCAGTTGGCCCAGTGGCTGTAGTCTCACTGACATGTATTTAGGTCCTTCCTTTTCCGAATTATTTCTCACTTTCTGCATTTTATGTCCTTAGATAACTAAATGTCGATTTCCAATTGGGAAAATATTGGGTTTAGAAGGTCCAGTAAACAATTAAAAGTATTAATTGTTTAATTAATGATAATTAAAAGTATTTTTTCAGTTCACCCAATTTGATATCAACTTTTTCACAAAGTATCAATCTGTAGGAAGCATGGATAGTTCTTCCATTAATATACTGAGAAGTGTTTGCATTATTCAAAGGTGATTGAAAATAAGTGATTTCCAAATCCTGCATAAAGTTTGCAAAAGTTAACAAATGGAATGTTAAGCTTCATTTTCCACATTATCATTTAAAACTACTAATCACATGCACCCAGCCACTAAACAATTTCAGTAATTAACACGGACATTTGAGTTCTTCATCAAACTTGAATAAGAGCATCAACTTCTAAGTCTTCATAATAGTCACTCATGGAACATAACAGCTGTCACACCTAACTGACATTTCAAAGTTGTTTGAGTCCAAAATACATTGGTTTCCAACATCAATTTGACCTACTGCATATCATATACCATTTTTCCAGAAAGTATCTGTTTGGGAAAAAAAAAAAAGTCTTCACAATTTGAAAGGTCACCATCTATGGCAATGCTTACCCTGCTTCACAAAGCAGTGGTCCCAGAAAGGTTGTAAAATAACCACATTTGCTCTTCTCAGCGGAAACACTACTCTTCACCACAAATAAAAGAAGTTTTTAGTCCTATTCCACAAACTCTCTGAATTGTTTCTACACGGGATGCCTCAGCATAGCTAATGATTTCTGACACCTTTGTCACAAACATAACTACAAGTGAAATTGTAATGGACAGCATGTAGCCCCACATTGGTGCCCTTACTGAGAAGTTTTCTCATTTTACTTATGCTACATACTTATTAGTCACTGTAAACCAAAAAAAAAAAAAAAAAGCTCCGGAATGTCAACATCTAAGTGCTACAACACAAAACATTTTTGCAGATGTAAAACATTGCTTCATAAAGCTATTAAAAACATATAAAAGTTGGTGGAATATATTTCTGAGCAAACTGTTTCATTATATTCCTAAATCTAGGCAGTGACTGTTTGAATGGCAGCTCCCTCTGCCCAGCAAGTTTAGCCTTGTATTCCAGTTTCTAAGTGGAAGTGATACCTGTGTAAAAAGACTTGGTAGCTCAGATGACAAGTAGCAGAGCAGCCAATGAAGATGCCAAGTACGATTAAAGTTTACAAGATGCACTACCCCTTTTCCAAGGGTTATTAGTTATGTGAGAAATCAGAATATGGGGATATTGCAAGATAATCAGAAAGTGCATCATAAAATACAGATTATATGGATAGAGGTATAGGTGTTCTCCAGAAAAAGACAAGCAGTCTCCCTACTAAGCTTTTTACTTGGAGTGCAGTGCTTCTGTGACGGTGAGATGTAAAATGTGGGTACTTCACAGCAGTAAGAATTCCCATATAACTAAAATTAGCAATAGGGAACAAAAGAAGCCATCCAAATCGCAATACACACCTCGAACTCAACATAATAAAAAAGGATTTTTAGAAGATGTGACAGGAATCCTCTCCTACTCACTGAAACGGTATCACGAAAAATGGGGAGGGGGTATCATGTAAACATAGAGAAGCTCGCGAAGCAGAGTGAGAACACGGAAGGGATGGGCTGATCAAAACCACTTTGCTGCCTGTCCCTTGTTTCTCACTCCCCCCCCCCCACCCCAGGTTTTGATCACAAATCTTAAGAATGCAAAACCACCCAGTTTAAGAAAAAGAAAGAAAGAAAAAAAAAAAAACTGAAAGAGTGTGCCTAGGGCTACTGCCAGAGCAACCCTAAACCATTTCCGTGCAAAAGCAAAGCAGCGAGGATGTGGTAGCAGCCGCAAATCTCGCTCTTCCCCGCCCCTGATACGGTACCTCCAGATTTGCCCGAGCTGCAAGATGTGGACGAGCGACTGCAGGAGCCAGATGCAGAAGGAGCAGGACGCAGACCTGCGCTTGCCGCCGGCCCGGGGGGCCCCGCTACTGTTGCTGCCGCTGTTGGCGGCGGCGACGTTGCTCTTACTGGCGCTGGACGCTTGCCTTTGCGGCGTGGAAGGGCGAGCCTCGCCTTCCGCGGCTGCAGACCCGCCGCCGGCCACCGTCTTGCACTCGGCCCCCGGCTGCGGGCAGCCGGAGGCGGCGGCGGCCGGGGCGCTGTCCTCGGTGCTGAAATCGTGCACGAACCAGCGGAAGCTGAACACCTGCACCGAGAGCGAGCCGAGCACCACGAAGAAGAGCGTGAGCCCGAACCACCAGCGCTGGCCGCGCAAGTAGTAGTCCACGGCGAGCCAGACGTCCGTGCCCACGTCCGCGAAGTACACGGCCACGGCGGCCAGGATCCAGAGGCAGTCCCACAGCGAGTAGCGCCGCGGCTCCCTGCCCAGGCGCAGGCACAGCGCCGCCGAGCCCGCCCCGCCGCCGCCCGGGCCGCCCGAGACCCCGGAGCCGCCGCCCGAGCCGCCGCTCCCCGCGCAGCAGCAGCAGCAGCAGCAGCAGCGCGAGCAGCCGCCGCCGCCGTCCGGGCAGCAGCCGCCCCCGGCAGCCTCCTCGTCCTCGGCTCCCGACCCCGACGGCAGGCCCGGGGCCAGTCCCTGCGCCGAGCCCGAGTGCTCCGAGTTCTGCAGCGGGGTGAACGCCACGTCGCTGCTCTTCTTCATTTTCAGCCTCCCGTCCGACTTAGCGGCCATGATGCCTCGGCAGCGGGGGAGAGCCCTCCTCTATCTGACACCTTTCCCCGCTGTCTCCTCCTCCTCCTCCCGCCAGCGCCTCGCCTCGCGCCGGCTCTCCTCCCTGGCGGCGCGGCTCCCCCTCCTCGTGCTCCCCCTCCTCGTGCTCCCCCTCCTCGTGCTCCCGCTCCCGCTGCCGCTGCCGCTGCCGCTGCCGCTCCTGCTCCTGCGCCTGCTCCTGCGCCTGCTCCTGCGCCGGCCCGCCCGCCCGCGGGCTCGCCCGCCGCCCGCCGCCCGCCGCCCGCCGCCCGCCGCCCGCCGGGCTGGGCGCTGGGCCGGGCTAGCGGCGCGCCTGGGGCCGGCAGGAGCGCCGCCTGGCTGCCTGCGCCGAGCCAAGCTGCTCGCGGCGCCCCGCGCGCGCCCCTGCCCGCCGCCCGCGCTCCTCGCCGTCCCGGCCCCGCGGCTGCCGTCCGAGCCGCCGCCGCCGCCAGCAGCAGCAGCGGGAGCAGCAGGAGCAGCAGCGGCCGCCGCGGCGGTCCTCGGACCTGCACATTCCTCTCCTCCCCGCGCGCGCGCTCCCTCCTCCCGCTGCCTCTCCTCCACCAGCTGACTCCGAGGGAGAGGATGACCTCATCCCTTCTCTTCCAGCTGCCGCCGCTCCCACCCCGGCACGGGCGGGGCGAGGGAGGAGGAGGGCCCGGAGGAGGGGCCGGGACCCGGGCGCGCGGCGGCGGCGGGGGTGGGTGGGTGGGTGGGCGGCCGGCCGGTCCCGGGGGTCGGGGTCGGCGGCCGAGAGGCCGGAGGGGGACGGTCGAGGGCCCCCGCTCACGGGATTTCGGGGAACGCTGCGCGGATTTTAGCGGCCCGGGGGGAGGGGCAGGAGGGCGCAGAGGGGAGGGGTCCCGGCGTCCAGCCCTCGCGGAGGTCGGAGGAGCGTGGGCGCGGGCGGGAGTGGCGGGGGCGAGGGCTCAGGGCTCAGGGGCGAGGCCTCTTTGTGTGCGGCTCCGATCCGCCGGTACCTGGAGGAGGGGTGGGTGTGCGGCTGGGGCTGGCGGCGGCTGGGGGACGCGGCTCCACTCGGGCGCCAGGGCCCCGAGCGCCGGCAGCGGCGGGGGGTGTGCCCGGCCTCGGAACAGCTGCGGAGCGAGAGGGCGCGCGGGGCCCGCGGAGGCACCGAGGGGCGCGGGACCGCGGCCGGGACTGCCGCGGCGAGTGGGCGCCCTCGGCGGGAAGGCGCGGCCCGGGGCGTCAGCCTCCCGGAGGCGAGGAGGCGGCCGGGCGCCCTCGGCGGTCCAGGCCCGCGCCGCTCGGCCGGGGAGCAGCCGAGCCAGGTGGAGCGGCGGGCCGGGAGGCTCCCCGCGACCGTGTGGTCCCGCGGGTGGGCGGCTCCGCACCCCTGGCGGCGGCTCCGGGCGCGGCGGGGCGGCGGGGCGGCGGGGCGGGGCGCGCAACGGCGGGGAAACTGAGCCCCGGCCGGCGGGTGCGGAGCGGCGGAGCCGCGAGCTGGCGCCACCTCCCCTCCTCCAAGGCGAGAATTACCTTCTCTTAAAGCTATAGGAGGTACGGACTTGGCTTGTGGTCCCACAACTCCAGAAATGACCCAAAGCAATTGAATCTGTGACAGGGGTGGCTCACCAAATTAGATATAAAGAGAATATAGGATATTTGGGTGCTTGGAAAAGTTCTTGAAGACCCGATAGGATCCTCATTTTTTTTTTCCAACAAAAAAACTTAGCCTGATTTGCCTCGCTTAACTTTTGCAGTGTAAGATACAGAGAGTGTAATTCTTTAATTACACTGTGACTCACATGTTTTAAGACCAGAGGGAAGTGAGGCAACACGTGTTACACTGCCATTAAGAGCACCAGTTGTGGTCTTCTAAATCTGGAGGCAAAACATAACACCCTCCCCTCCTTCCCTGTTGTAGACACGGGCTCGGGTTGCACTAGTGTATGTGCCATTCTTAATTAGTAGCATCATGGAGTAGAAATGCACAAAAAACATTTCTGCATGTAGAAATAGCCACCCCAGACATCTGGTGCTAAAGCTTATCTGCTGTTTTAGCACCAACCTGAACCAAGTAGAATTCTCCCCACCCCACCCCACCCCATCCCATCCCACTCCACCCCCACCCCACCCCACCCCACGACCTCCTTCATTCCTACAGATGGGCACTTTGAGAGCTGCTTTCCTAGGCTTTGCCTGACTGTGTAGCAGGAAGGTGTTGCGCCGCAGAGCCCATAAACATTACATGGCATGTACAAATCCGGTATTTCTAGCAAAAGGCATGGCTAAGAGGAATAAAGGTCAGCGCAGTACCACTGAGCCAGTTAGAATGCCAGGCAAAGGGTGTATTTTTAAATCTAGCTTTAAACTTGGATCCTTTTGGAGTAAGAAAATTCTCTTTAGAATAACACTCTGGTACTGTTTCCCCAAGGTCCAAATCTAAGATTCCATCTCCAGGGCACTACAGCTGATCTTACTGTGTGCCAAACCATCCGGGAGAGGTATGATCTCTTAGGTGACCGGGTCCTAAGAGATTGAGTGTATTCTAGGTCAAATGCACTGCCTTAAAAATGCACCAGGTGTGAAAAGGCCTTGCAGAATATCTGAGGTTCTAAAGGCCTGGAGCTGACTGAAGGTTCCTTTAGAGCAAGGATGTTTCTTATTCAGTCAGTAACTATGCACCTAGCACAGCACCTGCACAGACTATTTGCTCAGTAAATTATAGTTGAATGAATGCATGAATTTATAGAAAGAACATTCCACAACAGGAAGAATGCCACATTCTGTACTAACTATGTTCCCATGGAAACATAGAATTATGAGACTTATCCTGTTAGGTTCTAAAAAAGAAATAACTAGTAATGGTTTCCTTAATAATACATTTATGCAAAACTCTCTAGACTCTTTTTAAACTTTCTGTCTAGAACATCTCTGGAAAGTGATGGTGGATGTTAGTAGAAGGAGGGTACAAGTAGGAGAGCAGAGAATGAGAATTCACATCCAGGCTGTGCTACTTACCAGCCCTAGGATCTGGGCAAATTGCTTAATACACAAAATCAGTAAGAGGAGTAGATGAGATAATGCATATTACTGGGCTTTATATACAATATTGTCCTCAAGAACCTCTAATCTCATAAGTCTACTATTCACATCTCAGGATGCGGATTTAATATCACCTGCTCTATCATAATCACTGCGTCAGTCAAGGAAGATGAACATAACCTTTAAGCACTCAGAGTTCAGACTCAGACAGTGGTGTCCTTGAGCGTGTTATTTAACCTCCCTGGCTCTCCTGTTCAACATTTCTAAAGTAAGGAAGGATGACAACAGTCTCTAGTATTCACAGTTTATGCCAAGAATACATTAAATGATACAGTAAACTGACACTGCGCCCAGCCCATTGAAACACTAAACACACAACATTTTGTTAATAGTCTTCATGTTTCTTCTACCCCTTCATGTTTTCTGGTTCCACCCGAAAACTTTATGTTCAGTTAGTCAACTCTACCTAAAATGAGATTTCCTCAAAACGCAGTCCTTAGACCGCCTTCATCAGAATCCCTTGGTTTTTGATTCAGTTTCCTGGCCTACCAGTATTGTAATCTCTCCTTCCATGATCTTATCTTCCATTTTATCTCAGAGGTTCATTTCCATTGTCGTAATCTTAACTGTGGCATTACGAACTTGCAAGCATAACCTCCACTGCAAGCATCTCACCGTGATTAATCCTTCCTAAGCGGTTAACTCACCTCCTCAAGTACCCCTGGATTCAATTCCACTTCATTTTTATGCCCTTTAACCCAATCTGGCCTTCACCTTTTTTCTTACATAGCTGAGCTTCCATTGGCTCTGCCTTGAACATATCTTCATCGTTGTTGTCCGTCCGACTTCACAAAACACCAAGTCTGTTTAAACCTCACTCTCCACCCACTGCAGGTCTGAGCCCCTGCAATTGGCCATGGCAGGACAAGGGTGCAGCCGTGCGACTGAGCTCCCTTTAGATCCATCATCACAGGAAACCTGCAGCAGACCTCAGGCCCGCTCAGCATCACACATGCCTTCCTCATCCCTTTTCTCTTTTTAAATGCTTATTTCTTTTCCTATGTTCCCTTCTCATACTTTAAATACCTCCTTCCCCTTACTCTCAGTGGATGCTTCCAATTTCACTGAGAAAAATGAAGCAATCAACACACAACAGCCAAAGCTCTCAGTACCTCCTTCCCACCAACCAGCATTTGTACCCACATACTCAATCTCCTGCCTGTACAAGGAGACCCTTCTTGATCACCAGCCATCCCCTCTCACTGTTCAAAAGCACAATTCAAGGCTAGTTTCAACAGTCATAGATTTTCCCTCTGCTCCATTACTCCAGTCAGCATCCGAATATGCTGTTATTTAGTTAAAAAACGAAGCAAAAAAAAAAAAAAAAGCAAACACACAAACAAAAATTCACCAAAACTTCTTTTGATTCCAATGCTCTTTTAGCCACCACAAAATCCCCCTAAAGCCTTTCACACCAAGTTCCTCTAGAGTGGGCTAACCTGGCTTTCTTCAGTTCCTCTTGCGCTCGCTCAAATACACCCAGACCTGCTCCAGCGAAACTGCTCTCACTACGTGTACACCATCAATCTCTACTTGACTAAACATCCCACTTCTCATCTTACTCAGGACCTTCAGTAGCATTGACCTAGTTGACCACTGGCTCCCTATTCACCGATATATGTTCTTCACTTGTCTTTCACTGTACCACATGCTTGGTTTTTTCTGTCTCAAAGACTGCTTCTCTGCTAATTCTGGGTCCTTTGCTAATTCTTTCTCATTTCCTCTATCTTATGCTCAGTCTTCAAATCCTTCTCGATGTACTCCTGCTCCCTCAATAATTTCATGAAATCTTATGTTTTAAAATACCATCTATATGGTAATAGCTCCCATATTTATTTCTCCAGGCTGGATATGCCCTAAACCCCAGAATATACCAAACAGCTTTCTCAATGTCTGTATTCAGATGCCTAATG